GGGCACTGAGCTGTGGCTTTGAGTCAAATATGTCTACATGGGTCTGGCTCTCAGCACTGATTGCTGAGGTACCTTGGAAAAGAGACTCTGCCTTGCATCCTGCAGCTGTCATAGCCAGATAGCTGTCAGGGTTGGGGAGGAAAGATAGGACACACCTCCTTGTGCCCACACTTGCAGTTGGGCTCAGGCCTTTCATTACATAATGTCATTTGATGTAAAAACCTGACCACCCCATACATCCAGTGGTATGCTGTTAAATGGCTAACAACTGGCTCTCTGGGTAAAGAAAGCTTTAGTGTGTACCATTTGCCAATTTCCATGGTACAAATACTCCCACCATTGCCCATTTCAAGATACAGCAAAGGTTTAATAGCTGGACCAAAGAATTGTTAAAATTTTGCCAATTACCTTTCACTAGCCATCACCAGCTGGCTTCAAGCACACCACTGAGAGTTGCATGCTTTCCTAAATATGCTTTAATGTTCAGCAACTCCATGCAGGCTCCTGTTAATCTAATAAGCCAGCAAGTGCAGGGAACACTGGCTTCATTTCAGAAAGCTGGAATCAGAGACACAGAGAGGTTACATGGTGAACGTGAGGTCCCACGACTGGTCGTGGCAGAGCCAGGGCTCCCATCTCCGGGGCCAGCATCTCTCCTGGGTGCCCCAACCCCTTTCAAGGGCATGGACAAGTCTCTGAGGCCTTATGGAGACACGGGCTCCCTCAGGAAAGGTGGCTTGAAGGGTGGCTTGTACCTTGAGAGTGCTGTGGATGTCCAGACCTGAGTTTCCCCAATTAATTGGATTCTATTACTTGCCTGGGAGGATGTTTTAAAATACATATTCTCAGGCCACATCCCTGGATATTTTGTTTAAGTTTTATGAAGTTAAACCCAAAAATGTGTAACAAGCGAATGAATCATATGATTAGACAAGTTTGAGAAATTCTGTATTAAGGAAAATTTTTGTGTCAAAATTACTTGTTACCTTGGGTAAGAAGGGAGAGATGAGATTACATTTACCACTGTTACATAACATTTTTTTTCTAATTATTTTTTTAAACACGATTAAGCATTTAGAATAAATAAATGAGACTCTCAAATCTGCCTCCAGGGTTTTTTTCCACAGGGACTGAGACATAGAGGTTGTTCCTGAATTAGCCATCGGAGGGCACCATAATGCAGCAAGAACTCCGCCAGCTCCGCCGGGGTGAGGAGTTCATTGCTCACCTGGGGGCTCTCTAGGCCCAGTGGGAGGCAGGGAGGCAAAGCTCAGCCCCCTGGTTCCTAGAGCACCGCAGGGACCCTGACTTCCCACCCAGGCAGGCTGTGCCACCTCTTATCTTCCAAATTAATCGCAGATGACCGACTACAGGCAAGGGCAGGGCTGGGCATGGATGCGAGCAAGGAGAGAGACCAGGGCTGCCCCCACCCAGGACCGCCTCTGGACACGTGGGCCTCTGCGCTCACCGCAGGGTTCCAAGATCTAGCTTACCTGTGGGTTTCAGCGAGTAGAGTAGCCCACGCAGCTCCCTCACCAGGCCCTCTCTCCTTGTGTTTGAGCTTCTGACTCTCTGGACTCTTTCTAGCATGGCCCGAACATGGACGGTGTGCAAGGTGGTTAAGTTGGTGGACACCGGATACAGATTGACTAAAATCTAAGTTCCAGTTCTTCCATTAACCGTGTGGCCCTGCACCTGAGATTTGGCCTCTTCTCTAAGACTCATCTTCCTCATCAGCACAGAGGGCATAATGATTCAGCTCCATAGGGCTTTTATGAATAGTGAATGCGAGTATCTCTGTGAAGGTTTTTGTTTGTTTGCGTGTTTGTTTAGCACAATGTCTGGTACATATTAAATATTTTAAAAAACAGTATTGTCATTATTATTGTGCTAGCCCAAGGGATCTGTGTTTGTTCATATCAAAGAATTTATGGGTGTCTGCCCCTTATTCCTGATTACTAGAGGACATTTAATTTATTTATCAAGCAGGTATATAATAGCACTTCCTATGTGCCAGGCAACTGTATGAAGTGTTTTACTGACATTACTCATTTAATCCTCACAACCCTTTTTCTGTTTAGCTAAACAGATTAAAACAAAACAAAATGAAACCAGGCCCAGAGAGGTTAACTGACTTGACCAAGGAAGGTGAAATCGTCACTAAGCAGGGCAGGCGGTGTAGCTGGGCGTCTCTGCTCAAGGCAGTGTGCAGTGGGGAGAGAGGCTCACTGAGTCCCTCATCCTGCCCCTGGCAGCTGTGCAATCTGGGCGAGCTTACCTACCCAGTCTAGCCTCAGCGTCTTCAGGTGGAAAATAGGGATAACATACCTGCCTGCTGGGGAGTTGTGAGGGTTATCGATAATGAAAAGCTCTTAATGCCTGCCATATAGTACACACCAAATAAATGGTACCTGTTTTTATTGTTGTTGCTTTTATCATCAGGCAAGTTAGGATGAGCACAGAGGTAGCTGGGGCATTAAAGGCATAGGAACTGTGCCTTGTTTACTCCGGGGAAAGAGCACCTGTGGAGCTGGGCTGCTGGCATGGCCAGAGGCCCTTCCCCGGGTGCCCTGGCCCCACCTCCACCGGTGAAAGGTCCAGTCACTGGAACAGACGGAGTGCTGGCAGGGGAATTAGGGCACTCGGGTTCCAGTTCGAGACCTGTGCAGGAGGCTGCAGGACCTCGTGCAAGCATGTGACAGGTCTGCACAAATGCGTTACACTAGGTGCCTTTTTTGACTCTCAGTTCTGTGGCTGGGGTTTGGGGGCTTGTCATCCTACTGAAGGTCTCAAGATCCTCGCAGAATTCTATCTCCACCTAAAATAAAGCCTTGTCTCAGAGTGGGAGGTGTGTGTGGGGGGAACGGATGATGAATTCTCTTGAGGAAGCAGGGGGTGGGGGAGGTGAGAGGCTGCGCTGGGTGAGAGGGCCCGGGTCTAACTCCCCCCTGGGTTTAATGAGCCCCAGAGCTCTGTGAGGGCTGCTTTTCACCATCTTTTATTTCATCAGACAGGGGGCTCAATAAATCCTTAGTTCTATGGACTCCCCTCGTGGAATTGTTGAAGAAAAAAGCTTCTTGCAAATGATTAGAAAGCCCTTTGCAGATATAAAGTGCTTATTTAGATGCAAACTAAAACTCCAAGGTGCCTGTGACTCATCTGGTACCTATTGTGCTCCTGCGAAGGCGCAGAGGCTTGCCTGTGTGATGGGTGCCATTTGAGAGCCACTTAAAGAGCTCCCCAGTGAATGAATTTGGTTGCATTATTCACGGGCTCCTGGAGGAGGACTTGAAATCTCACCGCTCACATCGTGTCCTCCTCCCCTGACACTTTCTCAGCCCTCTCCCCAAATTTGTTCTGACCCGCAATGTGGTGGGAGGGGCTGGCCCACTGGGGAGGCGAGGAGCCAAGGAGGCGGGGCCTTGTGCTCACCCACTCTGCTTTGTAAAAAAGAAAAGGCAGCTTTAGTCCAATTCTTCAGCATCCAGAGCTATGCCTAAGAACCTAATGACAATAGTATTGCTTGCTTTCAAAAACCCTTTCATCATTTCCTTTTCTTTCCTATCTCTTACTCCCCTGCTATTACAGATCAGGGCTTCATGACCAAAAAATGCTGAATCCATTTGGTCAGATTTGTCAGACTGGTGTGACTGGTTTGTCAGCATTGTGTGAAGACCAAAGGTCTGCATGAATGACTGCATTTTTAATGAATTGACCAGTTATTTGGCATCACACGAACAGAATTTAATTCTGTGTACCACCAACTGCTTGTGCAGGATAATGGAGACCATTTTTCCAAGGCCTATGTTCATTCCTAGGATAGAAAAAAGGCTCCATTTTGAGGTTTGGTGAGGATTTGTTTATATCGAGATTGAGCCACGCAAGGAGCATCCTTCTCCATTGGGATCTAAGGCATAAGCCAATTGTCCCTTCAGGTTTCAGGTAGGTGAGTGCTATGCACTCTGGGAGTTTTCCTGTATGAGACAGAAGTTGATTCAAGATTTATTCTTGTTGGTTGTATCTTCAGTGGTCAAAGTAGAAGGGTGTGTCATGACTGCTGCCAGTAGAATGGCACACCTGTGCAAATTAGAAAATGCACCCTCTCCTGGTGGACTTAAGGCTTGGCAAAGGAAGCACTGGCTGAATTCGACCCCCACACCCTTGAGCAAGGCACAACCCGCAGGGCCTCACCCACCAGCTGCCTGTGTGAATGTGTGTGGATGGAGTGGACAGACGTGTTCTCGAGGGGGGAGAGAGCACAGTCAGACTAGCAGGCTGGGTGGGAGCTGTCCCAGAGCCTCTTCTAGAAGCTCTCTTTATATAGTTCTTTCCTCCTTCTTCTGAGGCTGACCTTCTCCCACTCTCTCATGTCCTTTCTGAAGGTGCACACTTGTGATATAAGCACTGGCTACCCTCAGGCAGGGACTCCTGAATTCAGTTTAATATTCTTTGTTCAAGGCTCTGTAATAGACTCGGAAGGGAGATTCACAGTCAATAAGGAGCTAGGACTAGAATTTAGGTGGTAGAGGTGGTGATATAGAAAACTGGATGCTCTGTGTTACTTCTGTAAAAAACATTTTTTATGTAATAAATGTCCAGAAATCACACAAAAGACTCCCGTCTGCCCTCCTTTTACCAAAAACAAAGTAGTAACAGGAAATTTTCTTCCCAACCCAAATCAGCTCACCTTTCATCCTTGTTTTCCAACCCCCTCCTCCCAATTAGGAATCACAAAAACCCCAAACAGAATCCTCTTCTGTGACCTGGGTGGAAGGAAAAGTTGGGAAGCCTATAGAATAATCATTTCTTTCCTGTCACAGGGGTTTCTTTTCACCCACAAACCATAGTTAAAGAGAAAAAGAAGAAGGAAAATGTCCCAGCGCTAAGTTCTACTTTGCAGATGCAAAGCCTGTGTGTGTCTCAAATACAGCAAGGGCAGCTTCCCCACCCGGTCTAGGCCACCCCTCTCCTAAGCCAGGAAGGGGGAGCCCCAGCCCTACCTATCGATGCTGATGGCACAGAGGTTTAGGATGCTGGCTGTACACATCATGACATCCAGGGTGACGAAAACATCGCAGCAAAGGCGGCTGAAATTCCAGACTCCACCTGTCACCTGAGCATCGGAGACAAGGATGTTAGTGTTCCCCCAGTGAAGGGACAGCAAGCCAAACAACTCTATGCCTTCCCTAGGCTGCCCTCTGTAGATAACAGGCTGACATGCCTTCCCTGTCGGTACATCATCATGACTAAGGACAGGCAGACACCAAGGGAGTGACAGGCTGCCCAAGATGGGTCACACGCAAAAAGGACAAAGTCACAGAATGTTAGAAAGTTGGAGATGGAAGGGATCTTCCAAATCAACTAGTTCAGTATTTCTCAGTCTGGTCCAGAGTGGGGTATTCATTAAAGATGAAGATTTTGGAACTCTTTCCTAGACCTGCTGAGTTAGACTTTCTGGACCTAGGGCCCATGAATCTTCATTTTAAAAAAATAACTCCTCTATCTCTAATCACACCAACATTTGAGAATCACTGATTTGATTCAAACTCTAGAGGCAACTAAAGCTCTATGTGGTGAAGTGATATGCCCATAGGTGCATAGCAGGCAGTCAGTGAGCTTGGGTCACCGCCAGATGTGTGCAGTGAGGCAAAACTGCCTCTCTGAAGCTCTCCATCCAATGGCAAGCTTTTCATGCACCCAGAAAATAACCAGAGACACATTTTTCATAAAACTTACCTCCCAAGTGGAATTCTATCTGGCTTCTGGTTTTAAAGTTTGGAAACACCCTGGAACATATCTCTAAAAACCTATGTAAGTTAAGTCTATGCCAATGTGCCTGCTTTTGACACTCAGGTCCCAGGCACCAAGAGTTGAGAAGACAGACTGGACCAGAGCATTGGAAAGGGTCCCAGATCCTCCCTACCACTCACAGAATTAGTGAGGATGGCTATGACCTTGTTCATTTTTATGTGTGTCTCAAGCTCTAGAACTTCCAGTAACACTTGAAAAAAGTCAGGAATAAAGCAATTTAATTTCCATTCTGGTACATTTCTATTTTATTAAAAAAATTTATATAACCTTATTGTACCAGAGAGATCTGTCAGGGAGACTGCCACCTGAGAGTGTCCACAAATGCCCATCTTGGGCCTGAGGCCTTTGTTCATTTACTGGCTTCCTGCCTGTGGGGAGCAATCATGCCGTTCTCAGAATCATGGCTCTCAAAGAGAAACCTGGGAAGCTTTGGGTCCCAGGCTGTAGCTGTGTGTCCTTGCTGCGCAGGCCCAATGGCTAATTAAGAGGAAGGGAGAGTGAAAAATAGGTACACTTGCCTCTGAAGTATCTTCTCAAGGAAAAAAGAGACATTGTTGAAACAGTGCTTAAAATAGTGCTGTGGCATTTGATTTTATCACTATATTTGGTCATCTCCAGACCCTATTTTGAGAAACTCTGAGCAAAGTTATTTTGTTTAAAAGCAACAATGAAAAGTTCAAGACTTCCGGCAAAGATGGAGGCATAGGTAGATATAGTTTGCCTTGCACAACCAAAAGAAGGACAACAACAAATTTAAAGACAAAAATAACCAGAACTATCAGAAAATCAAACTGTATGGAAGTCAGGCAACTAAGGAGTTAAAGAAGAAACATTTGCCCAGACTGGTAGGAGAGGCAGAGACAGGCAGCCAGAAAGGAGAGGACTAGTGGCAAGGCACCAGCTGGTGGACCAGAAGGGCAAGGCAGTAGCTGGCAGACCAGGCAGTCCCACATTTGCATCTGGATAAACCGGGAGGAACAACTGGGGAGCGACACAGATCATGCAACCCAGGGTTCCAATCCAGGGAAATAAAACCTCAAAACCTCTGGCAGTAAAAACCTGTGGAGGTTGTGGTGGTGGGAGAATCTCCCAGCCTCACAGGAGAGTCCATTGGAGAGACCCACAGGGTCCTAGAACTTTCACAAACCCACTCACCAGGGAATTAGCACCAGAAGGCCCAGTTTGCTTGTAAGTAGTGAGGGAAGTGACTGAAAGCTGGGCAAGCAAGCGGCATTGTTTCCTCTCTGACCCCACCTGCACACACAGCCTGACAATGCAGCAATGTGGGTTGCCCCATCCTGGTACATACCTAAGGTTCTGCCCTTTAAATGTAACAGGTGCACTGAGACAAAAAAAAATATGGCCCAAATGAAAGAACAGATCAAAGCTGCAAAAACAGAGCTAAGTGATGAAGAGATAGCTAACCTATCAGATGCACAGTTCAAAACACTGGTAATCAGGATGCTCACAGAAATGGTTGAGTATTGTTGCAAAATAGAGGGGACAAGTGAAGGCTATGAAAAGTGAAATAAAGAAAAATATACAGGGAACCAACAGTGAAGGGAAAGAAACTGGGACTCAAATCAATGATTTGGAGCAGAAGAAAGAAATAAACATTCAACCAGAACAGAATGAAGAAATAAGAATTCAAAAAATAAGGAGAGGCTTAGGAACCTCTGGGATAACTTTAAACATCCAACATCTGAATTGTAGGGGTGCCAGAAGGAGAAAAGAAAGAGGAAGAAATGGAAAGTTTATTTGAAAAAATAATGTAGGAGAACTTCCCCAATCTGGCAAAGGAAATAGACTTTCAGGAAGTCCAGGAAGCTCAGAGAGTCCCAAAAAGTTGGAAGGAAGCACACACCAAAGCACATCATAATTATGTTACCCAAGATTAAAGGTAAGGAGAAACTCTTAAAAGCAGCAAGAGAAAAGGAGACAGTTACCTACAAAGGACTTTTTGAAAGAAACCTTGCAGGCAAGAAGGAGCTAGAAAGAAGTATTCAGTCTTAAAATGCAAGGACCAACATCCAAAATTATTCTATCCATCAAAGCTATCATTTAGAATGGAAGGGCAGATAAAGTGCTTCCCAGACAAAGTCAAGTTAAAGGAGTTTATCGTCACAAAGCCCTTATTCATATGAAATGTTAAAGCACAGGTGGCACACAAAAGGCCTAAGGGCCAAATCCAGCTTTCCACCTTGTTTTATCCGACCTGGCACCTTGTTTCTACCTGGTGGCAGAGCCAAGCTCCTTGCCCCTAGTTAAGGAGTAGTTACAGTTTTACTGTCCTAAAATTACATTCAGCCCTTTGAAGTCAACCATGAGGCTGATGTGGCCCCCGGTGAAAATGAGTTTGACACCCCTGTGTTAAAGGGACTTATCTAAAAAAAAAATCAAAACTATGATAAATGTAAAATGCCAACAAACTCACAACTATTAACAACTGAACCTAAAATAAAATGACAACAAATTCGCAACTATTAACAAATGAACCTAAAACAAAAACAAAAACACACTAAGCAAACAACTAGAACAGGAACAGAATCACAGAAATGGAGATCACCTGGAGGGTTACCAGCAGGGAGGGGGAGGGGAGAAAATGAAGGAAAAGGTACAGGGAATAAGAAGCGTAAATGGTAGGTACAAAATAGACAGGGGGAGGGTAAGAATAGTGTAGGAAATGGAGAAGCCAAAGAACTTATAGGTATGACCCATGGCCATGAACTAAGAGGGGGCAATGTGGTTGGCAAGGTGGAGGGGAGTAAAGGGGAGAAAAAAGTGGGACAACTGTAATAGCCTAATCAATAAAATATATTTAAAAATGAATGAATGGATAAATAAATAAACAAATAAGGATCTTAAAATAAGAAAATAAAAGCAATGATGAAAAGTTCAAACTAGCTCTGAAATCACCATTTTTTGCTTATTTGGCTGTGTATATAAAAAGACCTAATGTGAATTTAGGAATTCGCATTTATAGGAATTCTTACAATGAAAAACTTTAAAAAAGGAGTATGTATATAGTCATAATAACACAATGATTTAAGGAAGTAAGGAGAATAAAAGATAGTGTTGCTTTTTACACAGGATGATTGTTTGCTGTAAAAGCTTCTTGCAAAAAGTTGAATTTTGTATTCTAACTCTCATTTTAACATATGTCTATTATGTAATTTATGTCCTAAATTGAGGAAAAAACACTTTTCCTTCCAAACTTCGATTGCCTATTTGTGTCTGTGTTAAAGGTGCAAAATAGATGAGAGGGTTATTTAGAACAACAGAAACTCTGTCACTCCTTCACTCACTCATCCATCCATGAAGCTAGTAGTTGTGAAGGTCCTAATACTTAGTTCATAGAAAGAGGGTATATGCTATGTGTTTTAAGAGGTTTTACTGAGTGTACTTCAGGCCCTGTCCTTGAAGAATTTATAAGATTATTGAAGAAGCAAGTCATTTGTAAGTAACATAACTAGAGATTATCACAAGATCCTAATGTTATTAATACAATCTAACATTTTTTTAGAACTTACCCTATTATGCGCCACTGACCCACATAACCTATTTTAGGATTTCTGTAGCTTTAAAACTTCAGATTCAGAAAACTGAATGTGCTCATACAGGTTTTCAGGGCAAAGCATACACTTCTTTGATAGGAAATTAAATGACTGTTACTTAATAAACTCCGTAGGAGCAGGGACTTGTACTTGTGTATTGCTGCATCCTCGGCACCTAGAGCAATGCCTGGCATGCAAGTCTGTTCTGAAAGAATGACTGGTCTCTGACACAATCTATATTAATACTAATAGCTAGTGTTTGCTGAATGCCTACTTTTTTCCTTCTTCCTATTTTTTTAAATTCAATTTATTGGGGTGACATTGGCTAATAAAATAATACAGGTTTCAGGTGTACAGTTCTATATTATCTGTATATTATATTGTGTGTTCACCACCCCAAGTCATTTCTCTTCCCATCACCACTATCTCTCCTTGACTTTCTTCTACTCCCCCCTACCCTCCCTTTCCCTCTGGTAATCACCATATTGTTTTCTGTATTGATGAGGTTTTTTTTTTTTTCTTAATCCCTTCACCTTTTTCACCCAGCCCCACAACCCCCCTTCCCTATGACAGTCTGTTCTCTACTTATGAGTCTGTTTCTATTTATGTGTTTGTTTCTATTTTGTTAGTTTATTTTGTTCATTAGATTCCAAATATAAGGGTCCCTGTCTTTCTCTGGCTTACTGGGTCTTGATGTTCTGCAAAGCACTTTACGTACACGGACTCCACTGATGATTATAATCCAATG